CTAAAGGAACTAAGTTCTAAGGTCTTAAGTCTAAGGTCTTAGGTTCTCTCTCCGCCCCCCAGAAACCCATGCTTTTTATTAACACAATTTGTCCTGAGGCGAGGCACAGATATACACTTCAAAAGGTATACAGAAACATTGTCAGAATGGGGGAATTAGCCTACGGCTGTTCAGGTGTTTGGCCAGTAAGAGGCAATAACATGTAGATTAAGATGCCTTTTAGCTGTCTGGCAACCACAATCAGTTTCCTATTCAGGTTTGGGGAAATGCCTTCAGCCATTTCAACAAGTGACTAGTGTGTGACTCAACCCTATTGAGTCCCCAGGCCTTAATGACCTTTCGATGAAACTCTTGAAATTATGACATGCTGGAATTGGTCTCTGACATTTGCTGTGCAGAAGGTTTTTTGTTTGAAATCCTGTCTATTTTTACTTTTGTTGCCTGTGCTTTTGGGTCATATCCAAAAAAATCATCACAGTGGTTCTCAACCTTCTGGCCCTTTAAATACAGTTACTCATGTTGTGACCCAACCATGAAATTATTTTCCTTGCTACTTTATAACTGTAATGTTGCTACTATTATGAGTCATAATGTAAATATCTGATATGCAGGATGGTCTTAGGCGACCCCTGTAAAGGGTTGCTCTACTGCCAAAGGGGTCGCGACCCACAGGTTGAGAACCCCTGGCCTAGACCAATGTCAAGAAGCATTTACCTGTATGTTTTCTTCTAGTAATTTTAAAGTTTTAGGTATTACATTTAAGGCTTTAGGGAACTTTGAGTTAATTTTGCATTTATTGTGAGATAAGGGCCCAATTTTATTCTTCTGAACATGGATATCTAGTTTTCCCAATGCCATTTACTAAAGAGATTATACTTTCCACCTTCTGTGTTCTTGGCACCCTTGTCAAAAATCTTTTACTATAAATGTGTGGATTTCATTTGGGGTTTTCTATTGTGTTCCATTGGTCTGTATGTGTATGTGTTTTGTGTTTGTCAATACCATACTGTGTTTTTAAAAGAATACCATACTGTTTTGATTATTATAGCTTTGTAATATATTTTGAAAGCAGAAAGTGTGGTTCTTCTAGTTTGTTATTTTTGCTGAAAATTGCTTTGGCTATTTGGGGTCTTATGTGGCTCTACATGAATTTTATGTGTTGTTGTTGTTTTTTCTATTTCTGTGAGACATGTCTTTGGAATTTTGATAGAGAGTTCATTGAATCTATATCATGTTGAGTAGCATAGATATTTAAACAATATTAACTCTTCCAATCTATGAATGTGAGGTATCATTCCATTTTTTGTGTCTTTGCTAATTTCTTTCATCACTGTTTTATAGTTTTCAGTGTAAAGATCTTTCATTCCCTTGGTTAAATTTATTTCTACGTATTTTATTAATTTTGATTCTATTAGAAATAATTTTGTTTTCGTAATTTCTTTTTTTGATAGTTTGTTGTTAGTGTATAAAAACAGAATTGATTTTTTGTTGGTTGATTTTGTATTTTGCAACTTAACTGAATTTTGAGGTTTTCTATATATGCTAGAGGCCTGGTGCATGGATTCATGCACCAGTGGGGTCCCTCGGCCTGGCCTGCAGGGATCGGGCCAAAGCTGGTAGTCCAAATCCCCTGAGGGGTCCCAGATTGCAAGAGGGCACAGGCCAGGCCGAGGGACCCCACTGGTGCACCAATCTGTGCACCGGGCCTCTAGTATGCATATAAGATCTTTGGTTAATCTCTTCCCGCCTCCCCCCCACCTCCCTTCCCTCTGAGATTCATCAGTCTGTTCCATGCCTGTGCCTTGAGCATCTGCCCCCTGGTGGTTAGTGTGTGTTATAGCTACTGGTCAAACAGTCAAACGGTCGGACACTTAGCATATCAGGCATATATATATATATATATATATATATATATATATATATATATAATGTCATCTGCAAACACAATTTAACTTCTTCCATTCTAATTTGAATGTTTTTTCTTTTCTTTCTCTTTCTTGTGTAATTTTCTGGCTAGGACTTCCAGTACTGTGTTGAATAGAAGTGGCAAGAGTGGGCATCCTTGTTTTGTTCCTGATCTTAGAGGAAAAGCTTTCAGTATGATATTAACTATGTATTATATTAGCTTTGGGCTTGTCATATATGACCTTTACTGTAGATAAATTAATCATGAAAGGATGATGAATTTCTTACATGTTTTTTCTGTATCTATTGATGATCATATGATTTTTATCCTTTATTCTGTTAATGTGGTCAATCACATTGATTGATTTGTAGATGTTGCCTCCTTGCATCCTAAGAATAAATTCCACTTAGTCATGTTGTATAATCCTTTGAATGTGCTGTTAAATTCAGTTTTTACCAGATAATTAAAATGACCTGTCTTGAAGTCTACTGATCTTTCTTCTGCTTGACCAAGCCTGTTTTTGAAGCCCCTCTAGTGAATTTTTCAGTTTATTTATTGTATTCTTCGCCTACAGTATTTTTTGTTTTGTTCTTTTTTAATCATTTCTATTTCTTTGATGACATTATCATTTTGTTCATATGTTGTTTAAAAAATGTTTTCATTTGGTTGTGAATCTGTGTTCTTTTATAACTGAGCTTTAAAAAATAATTATTTTGACATTTTTGTTAGCCAATTTAAAGACCTCCATTTCTTTTAGGTTGGTTACTGAAAATTTGTTTTCTTCCTTTGGATGTGTCATGCTTTCTTGATTTTTCATGTTCCTGTAAGTTTGCTTTCTTGTCTGCACATTTGAAGAAGTGGCTGCCTCTCCCAGCCTTTATGAACTGGTTTTGACTGAGGGACACCTTTACTGGTCAGTAGTACTTGATATAAAGCAAGACAGAGACCAACTCTGCAGGGAGTACACAATAAAGCTGGGGACTAGACCCCTTTCACGTCTTCCCTTCCCTCCAAGAGGAAAAGCCTCAATTCTGTGCTTTTTCCAATCTTACAGAGCAGTGCCTCCTCTAAGAGGATATCTCCTCCTTCCTTCATTGTTAGCTGTCCCAGTGCTTGGTATATTTGGTCACTATATAATGATAAAAAATTCAACCCGCCAGGAATTCATTCATATTTACCTAAATCAATAGAATCGGGATGTACTAAGCAAACATCAATGGAATTACAGGCATAAACTGAAAAATCCATGGCTGTGTGACGAGCCCTCAATATACTTTTCTCAATTATTCATAAGTCAAAGAGAACAAAAATTAGAACGATTTAAGACATTTAAACAACACACAATGGAGATATACCGTGCTCTGCACTTAGAGACTGCCCTTCCTCAGTATCACAATGTAGATCACTGAGTAGGAGTTATTTAGAAGGTTATGTCTTTGGAGGAGGCAGCTACTTACTCTGAGTTTAAGGCAAGGTTTATTAAAGAGACATACAGAGCTAATTATCCTCATCAAGGTCTCCTGCCTCATGGCTGAGGCTAAAGGCACATTTCGTGGTTGAGTAGCCACGCAGCAGAAGCCACCATGCTATTGGGGTGAGAAAGATGTGAACAAGGAGCTTTCATGTAACCTTGCCTCTCTTAATAGTTTCTCTGAGGGTGTTTCAGGCAGGCCAAGCAGTGGGAAGATGCTTGAAGAGTGAGGTTATCTGAGAAAGAACCAAATAAGAATTGCTGTAGAGCATCCCTACCCACCTACCCACTCCGATGATGTTTGTGCTGGTGGTTGGTCATGACCTCTTTCCCAAGGCCCCCTGGCCCAAGAGCAGCTCTTAGTACAGATGGAGAAGATCCTTAATACCAGGAGCCCTGTGATGCTTCTGAGGTGGGTCAGAGGATCTGGCCTAATGGAGGCAGATTTCCTCCTCTGATGTCTCCTGCATTGATGCCCAGCAGGAAGCACTGGACTGGAGTGTCACACTGCACACCTGCCTCCAGCATGGGCTGCCTGCCTGAGTTCTCCACACTTGATGCCAAGTCCCGATTGGCCTCACAGGACTCAGCCCCTGGATCTAGCCCCATGACCATTTCAGAATAATTGTGATTGCACAGAGAGGTAGGAAGACTGTACCCAGTGATTATTCTCACTGACTCACCATGAGATCACGGACAAAACTCATAGCCACCTGTGTTCATTAATCCATAGCAGCATCACAATGGAACCACCCCCATGGATCACTCCTGATTTAAAAAGAGAGAGAGAATGAGGGCATAAGGAGGAGGATTTGGGATAGGTAGGGACCGCTCAGTGAATGGAAGGCACTGGAGTCTTAGGTCCTGACACTCACTCCAGGCCCCATGTTAAGAGTGGCCATACTGGTGGAGGATGAAGTGGGGAAACTTGGGGTTGGCACAGGCACTCACTTCCATGCCTATGGTCTCACCACAGTGGAGAAGATGTGAGCAAACAGGGAGTTCAGAGGAAACATCCTCCTCTAGCCATACCATGAATGGCCTGTCAATTTGCATATTACCTCTTTATTATGTAGGATAGTCACCTGATTTTCACAAGGAGAGGGAGAAGAAAGGGACAGGGATGGGGCAAGTTAACGAAAAGGTCTCCCTGGGGGCCTCGGACTCTGTGCCCCAGGGTTTAGCCTCCACCTAGCTCATGGTTAACTTGGCCCTTGTGACTCCAGGGTGAGGATGTTCTCTTTAGCACTGGGGGATGCCACCCATGAGCAGTTTCTCCCCCTGGGAGTACTCGTTCAGTGAGCAGAGCAACGAGAGGGCTGGGCCTCCGGGGGCCTGGCAGGAGTGCATGGGCCAAAGGGAGAGAGAGAGTAGAGAAGCATGACAAGGGGAGAGGGATCAGGGACCAGATCCAGAGACGTGGGGGCATGCTGGGGTCTGCACTGGGTTCTCAATGATCACAAGCACTAGGAATAAAATAGGCCAGTCCTAGGGCATTTGTTATGGTTTATTTGACAGAAAAAAAGCCATCCAGATAGTGAGGAGGTTGACAGCCCTTTGCCCAGGATTTAAGGTCGCAGGCACAGTTTTAGAGGGTTAGGGGAACAGAATACACAGACCCACTCACAGGCGGTTCATGCAAACGTTCCCGCAGTAGGTTGAACAGCATATGGTATCTGAATTGGGACACTTTAGGAAATATGAACAGTGGTTGTTGCAAAGATATACACTGGGCTGCTTCTGACAGGCCTTGACACCTAAAAGGAACAGGAGCAAGGTCAATGGAACCAGGCCACACAAAACACTCCTCTCAAGCTTAAAGTCTCATCATGACTCCAAAACCCAGGTCCCACTCATGACACTCTTGGACTTTTCAGGGAACTCCCTTTCTGCCCCTTACCAAATCCTGCTGATTAGTAGTATCTTCAATCCATTACCCCCATTCTCCATCAATAAGGTTTAATGTTTGGGCTTTCTGGACCCCTTCCATACTCCTGCAGCCAGGACTCTAGTCTCATATTATTCACGGCCTTGGTGAAGCCACCCCCATAGAATCTACACTCTGACTCTGAGAACTCAGTGAAGTCTGAAACATGTCAAAATTTCCTTTCCAAAAGTTCTTTCATTCTAGACCTACTCCCCCAAACATGTCTGGATATTGACCTGTCACATATGTGCATAAATGAAAGAATTGACTCTCAGTTCTGTGCACCTTTCACTATTGTATGCACCATATGTCTCTGGACTTTGAGAATGGAGAATAAAAAGATGTAGGTTGCCCTCCAGTCCCATCACTAGTCCCAGGGCCCCGTAACGGAGCTGGAAGGCCATGATTTGGAAGGACCCAGAGTCTTCAGAGTCCTGTGGTCAGAGCTGGATGTGCTAAAAGGTTCAAGTCCCAGGTCATCCTTAGCTGGACACAGCCCCTCCTTCCCCCTCACCATCCCAGCCCACCAGCCCATCACCTACTCTTCATCTTGTTCTTATTACGGGGTCCTCCCTGGGCCTGTAGCAGCAGAACACAGAGAAGCAGGATGGGCAGCAGAGCCTGGGTTGGCATGACTCAGGCCAGAGCAGTGGGCTCTCCGTCTGGCACAGACTTTCCTGGAAGCTGGTGTGTGGAGAGAAGGTAAGAAAGAGCAGGTTATTCTGGGCTCCTCCCTGCCTCCACTAGCCAGGCCAGGGCAGGGCAAGGAGTCCTTGTGTCCTCCCCTGTGCCTGTCCCTCCCCATAGCCTGTTCTATGTGGGATTTGGGCTTCTGCAGACACTGACCTTCCTGTCACATAACTAACCCTCTCTTTTCATAAACAGAACTTTTTTCTTTAAAAATATAATATTTTTTTATATTCTAATTAGGAAATAATTTACAAAAAATTTTAAAGAAAAAAAAGTTATATATGTAAAAGGGTATGGAAACAAACTAAGTCCATCATCGGATGAATGGATAAAGAAGATGCAATGTAGCCCTAGTTGGTTTGGCTCAGTGGATAGAGTGTTGGCCCCCAGACTGAAGGACCCTAGGTTCGATTCCAGTCAAGGGCACATACCTCAGTTGCAGGATTGATCCCCAGCAACCAATTGTTGTGTCTCTCTCGCATCAATGTTTCTTTCTCTGTGTCTCTCCCTCTCCTTTCCATTCTCTCTATAAATCAATAGAAAAATATCCTCGAGTGAGGATTAAATAAATAAATAAATAAATAAATCCTATATAATAAAAAAAAAGAGAGAAACATGCAAATTAACCGTCCCTCCACTACACTCAAGTCATGCCCATAAGCCAATAAGGAGTGAGTATGCAAATTAACCCACCAAAGATGGTGGGTAATTTACATACACAGAGCAGAGTAGGCGAGCCGGCAGCTTGGGGGGACGTGGCTCCCTTGGTCAGGGAAAACCCAGAGCGTAGGGAGCACCAGGAATGCTGGGAATCGTAGCTCTGGTGGCAGACGGATCTCCTAGACCAGTGGTCAGCAAACTCATTAGTCAACAGAGCCAAATATCAACAGTACAACGATTGAAATTTCTTTTGAGAGCCAAATTTTTTAAACTTAAACTATACAGGTAGGTACATTGTTATTAACTTAATTAGGGTACTCCTAAGGCTTAGGAAGAGCCACACTCAAGGGGCCAAAGAGACGCATGTGGCTCGCGAGCCGCAGTTTGCCGACCACTGTCCTAGACACTAGAGCAAAGTGAGCCTGAAGCACATTACTGTTGTGGTGGGGGATGGAGGGAAAGCAAAGGTGAGAGACATAAGTAAAATCAGAGTGTCTAGGAAAAATTAAAGAGAAGATATCCTAAAACTTCCAGGAAATCTCCACCAATGGAGCAAAGGAAAAAAAAATGCCTCTCTTATTCTGTGAGAACAAACCAAACTGGGTTGGGGGTCTCAGACAATTCGCTCATATGATTGCAAAGACAGACAGAAACTCCCAGATTGGAAAGAGCTCCCCTGAGGGCTTCCAGATTGGAGAGGGTGCAGGTCGGGCTGACGGACTCCCCTCTCCACCCCCCCATCTGCACCCCCCCCCCAGTGCATGAACCTTCGTGCACTGGGCCCCTGATATATATATATATATATATATATATATATATATATATATATATGATATAGAAATTATCATCCAGTACATGAAAATATTCTCAACATTATTAGTTATTAGTGAAATGTAAATTAAAATCATAATTATATACCAACCACTTCATACCCACATGGATAATTATAATCCAATGAAAGGGAAATAAGAAGTCTTGGCAAGGATGTGGAGAAATTGGAACCCTCATGCATCAGTGATTAAAATGTTAAATGGTTCAACCACTGTGAAAACAGTTTGCAGTTTCCTCAAAGAGTTAAACATATAAAGTTATACATATGACCTATCAATTTTATTCATAGGTATGTACCCCCCAAAATAAAATAAGTACTAAAAAAATACTTGTACACAAATGCTCTTACTACACCATTCACAGTCACCAAAGGGTGAGAACAACCCAATGTCCATCAACAAATGAATGGATAATCAAACTGTGGTATATACATACAATGGAATATTATTCAGATATAAAAATGAATAAAGTACTGGTACATATTACAACATGAATGAACCTCAACAGCTACAGAGATAACATTTTCACTTATTTTGGCAAACATTCAAAAGCATGACAACACATTTTGTTATGGGAAACACATGTTCACAAGGTTGGTAGCAATACAAAATGGTACAACCTTTATGGAGTAAAATTTGGCAATATGTCACAAAACTACATATGACTTTATCCTTTTAACCAGCAATTGCACTTTTAGAACTTGACCCTGATGTTACACCTCCAGCAATACAGAAAATATACACATAAATGTTTGTTGCAGCACATTCGTAATAGCAAAATCTTGGAAAATACATAAATGCCCATATATGGCAGATTGGTTGAATGACTAAGATGTGTGAACATGGAGGCATAGAATGCAGCCATAAGTAAGAAAAGGGAACTCTGGAAATATTACTGAATGACAATAGCAAGGTGCAAATGAACATATCTTTGCAAGAAAAATGGAATTAAGGAATCAAGTAACTAATTATCTTTATCTTGCACAAAAAATTCCAAAGAATTAATTTATTTAAAAAAAAAAAAAGGGGGGTGGGAATACTGTGATTCAGCACATTCTCTGAGGACAGTGTAAACTTGCTACAAAACCAGGCAAGGACTATATGAGAAAGGAAAGTTACAGGCCCAGTTCCGTTGTGAACATAGATGTAAAATTCCTTAAAAATAGTAAACTGGCCTGGCCACAGTGGTTCAGTGGTTAAGCACTGACCTATGAGGAGGTCATGGTTTAATTTCCAGTCGGGGCATATGCCTGGGTTGTGAGTTCTATCCCTGATTGTGCATGAGGCAGTCTATCAATAATTCTTTCTCATCACTGATGTTCCTATCTCTCTCTCCCTCTCCCATCCTCTCTTTAATCAATAAAGATTTTTTTAAGTAGTAAACTGAAAAAAAGATGGATGGGCATAGAGGGTATTGTACTGAGTGAAATAAGGTCAGACAGAGAAAGACAAATGCCATATGATTTCACTTGTGTGTGGAATCTAAAAACCAAAATAAATAAACAAGAACAATAGAAACAAAATTATTGATTTTTCACAGAGAGGAAGGGAGAGAAATAGAGAGTTAGAAACATCAGTCTGCAGGCCAACGCTCCATCCACTGAGCCAAACCCGTTAGGGCAAGAACATTTTGATGGTTGCCATATGAAAGGGAGTTTGGGGGTTAAAAAAGTGAAGAAATAGTCATGGGGATGTAAAGTATAGCGTAGGGAATATTATCAATAATATTGTAATAACTCTCTACGGTACCTGGTGTTACACCCCCCAGCAATACAGAAAATATACACATAATTGTATATCTAGGTACTAGATTTATCAGGATGATCACTTGCTCAGTTATATAAATGTCTAGTCACTGGATGTACACCTGAAGCTGAGATAATATTATATTGTTGAAAATAACAAATGAAAACAAATAACCAAAGAGTTACAATACCGCCCTAACTGGTTTGGCTCAGCGGATAGAGCTTCGGCCTGCGGACTGAAGGGTCCCAGGTTCGATCCCAGTCAAGGGCATGTACCTTGGTTGCGGGCACATCCCCAGTAGAGGGTGTGCAGGAGGCAGCTGATCGATGTTTCTCATCGATGTTTCTAACTCTCTATTTCTCTCCCTTCCTCTCTGTGAAAAATCAATAAAATATATTTTTTTTAAAAAGAGTTACAATACTATTTACGATTTCATTTGAAGATCAAGCCTCTAGGAATAAATATAACAAAGACATGGAAAACTTACAAAGTTTTGTGAAAGAACATTAACAAAACTTGGATGAGAGAAATAACAAGGTTAAGCTTAGGCGGATGAAAAGGGTGTAGATTTGAAAACGCTACCACATCCTGGAGTGGGTGTAGTCAGGAGGTGCTTGGATTTCTGCCAAACCCTCCAGATAGATCGGAATACACCGTAAAAAGCCAATCACAGCATGCCTTCTCTTTTCCCTCCTTCCCTCTCATTTCCCCTAAACTGCGCCTGTTCAAACCCAGCAGTCCTCAGCCAGGACTTACCACCATCCTGCCAGCAGCATGAAGCCTGTGCTGGTCCTTCAGCTCCTGCTGGTGATTCATCTAGCACCACAGCTGGTGCCTGCGAGTCCCAAGCAACAATTTATGAGTAGGTGCTGGGGCCCGGCCCAGGCGAGGGAAGAAGCATCTGTAGAGATGGGGGGATCTGAGGGCCAATTCATGGGCATACCTCATGAGAAAACACCGTATGTTCAAGAGTCCAGATTTTATTGTTATTTAAGATCTAGGTTGGAATACCTGCTCTGTTCCTTACTGAGTGATCTTGGGCAAAGTGTCTGGGCCTCGGAGTTTATCTTTGTGATGAATATAATGATATTGGAGTAGTTGGGAGGAGAAACTGAGCTAATGATGCAGACATAGAGCACTCTTACTGGACCATGGTCAATGCTCGGTAAGTATTAACTACAGCAAATGTTATCAGCCTCATCAGCCAGCTGATTCTTGCTGCCCTGCTTCCTTCATGGATGCTTGGGCCAACTTTTCAAGCATTAAAGCAGAGAGGAAAAGTAAGTTGGTAGAACTCAAACTGGAACCTACATAATCTTGGTTTGAGGAAGATGTTTTAGGAAGAAAGGAAAGCCTTGCATTTTATTCCACCATTTAAAAATTCAGAGGTACCCACACAATTACCAGCGATTTGCATCAATCTGAAGCTCTATACAATTATTACTCAGTAAATATAATCCATCTCAGGAGCCACCATTGACCAGCTCAACCTAACAAAAGCGCTGGCCACAGTAATGTTGACCTTGACCGATACCAAAAGGAAAATGAACTATTATTCATCATGCCTGCATGTTTCTGAGGACATCTTCACAATATTGGGGGCTCAGAGCAGGAAGACGTGTGGTATGTCATGTGTCAAGATAGACAAGGTCCTGTTTTAGGGTCTCAGAGAAAGTGTGTATGACTGAGGAAGGCTAAGCAAGCTGC